GAAACAGTTCTAACAAGCAATAACGGTAATGATGGAGAAGCAATGACTGGAAGAGGTGGAAAATTGAAAAGTGTAAGTTTCCAGGGCTTATCATCATAATGTAAAATTATATCGAAACATTGATAGGAGAAAAGAAAGTCAAAAGATACTTCAATAAAAATTAATGGAATTTTAGCACGAATACAAAGAAGAAAAGAGGGACGATCAAGATACCGATGTGATCGATCCACTGGAATATCTCGATTCACTGATGCAGGATACAATCAATAGTTTTTCAACCGTTACTGATGTGACACACGAACAACAATATATTGTCAACCTTCGTGACAAATATGCAAGTATCGTTGACCAATACAAAAAAAAAAAAAATTATCTTGCAGGAAAAAAAATGATTGTGAGATTGCGGTTAGCAATAAAATGAAAATGGGTGGAAAAAAGAAAATTGAGATGGTTAGCATTTAATGATCGCTACTTTCTTTTAGATTTAATTTTCAGGTTCAATTCAGGAATGCACTCGAAAAAGCTCAGGCAATGAAAGATGGCGACAGTTTGGTGATGTCATTCTATGGACATCAGGATCATTCGACAAATATTCCCTGCGGTATGATGAAAATAAAGAGTGGAAGGGAAAGGAATTGAAAAGAATACTGTTCGCAAAGTTTAATTACGGATAGATAAGAAAGGAGAACGGTTAACATTATTCTAGAAATATTTTTCAGCCGGAAATAATTGCTTTAAAAATGATTCCGGAAATAACAGTAGACCTCAGAAGAAACTATTTGATCCAACAATAACATGGTTGAGGCATACGGTATTGAGACATATGTTCCTAAATACAGTAAGCAAATGCACGGAACGGATTTTCAACAATACCGAAATCACTGTAAACGTTGAACGACGAACAAACGACTTCTACGTTTGGGCCGTTATTCCACAAAAAGGTAAAAAAATGTGAAATGATTTAAAACTAATGAAATAAAAGTGGAAAACATCATTTTCTTCATAATAAGATAGTGTTAGATGGGTATTTCACGTCTTAATGAGCAAGAATAAAAGCAGATTATGAAAGTTAGTCTTTTCCATCGGTAGCATAACAAATTGTCGGATCATCGATTTCTGGAGGACAGTCACAATTGAGCTATTAAGCATTCACTCCATCCATTCATCCTGCTAATTCAAGTGTCAACTGCTTAGTATCTTCTGGATTTTCACTAATATCTAGCACTCATCCATTCCATCCACAAGCTTTAATAAGCCACAAAGTCTATTAGGAGCCAATATCCATCAATAAAAGTTACAATTGAACAAACACACTAATTTCAGTTTTAAATGAAAGAAAAGCATCGATTAAGACGGACAATGACACGAAACATGGAATTGTCACAGATGGAGTCACAGATGCTATACGTGATTATAAAACTGGCGGAGAAAAACTTGAAGATTCGACTGAATCGGTCATTGCCATTCAGGGTGCTTTTTTTGGAAATGATTTGAGCCATTTGAAGAATCCAAATTGTTAGATTAAAGTGATATAAATTTTGCTCAGGAATCAATGTTTCATTTTCTACGATCACGTCACCGAATGTATCAAAAAATTCGACATCATCAACTTGGTGGAATGGTACCTGGTTTTGGATGATAGATCTCATTGTACTAATATTGCTCCTCATCCTGATCTTATCATGCTGCATTTGGTATTGCGGTAGCAACAACAAACATCCTGACTACATCAGAATCTGATATCATTTTAACATCACGTGTTTCATTTTAATGTCATTATGTTGACAAAAATACACCACTTGTTGGAAAAGAAAAAACTTTTAGTAAAGGGGATGTGGAGTGGTCGCGGAATTTAATCTTATTCAGGAAAATGATACTTCAATTCCATTTCAGACTTAATTAATTTAAATTTGTATCACAATTGTTATTGTAAGCAATTTTTTTCCGTAATGTTTATAACATAAATTAAGTATAAAAATATTTTGTATGCGATTTAATTTTGATACTGTAATATTACTTGTGAATTAGTAAGAATCATTCCTAGAATCAAACCAGAAATGAGCTTTTGTTGAAACATTGACTAACTTTATGTTACAAGCACGTTCTAAAAAATTTTCGCTTAATGTCTTTAAATGACGTTTCTTTTCGCTAAATGCCATTAATGGCACTAATTGAAAATTCTAAGTTCTGATTGTAGGTGACCTCAGAATGTTGCTATGATTGCTAATCCGGTTTTCTGAGTTTACGGCAAATTGATCTTTCCTGTCAAAAACTAACGAATATCTTGTACGTAGTATTTTGCATCTAAAAGCATGATTGTTAGAGAGATTATAAAGAATGCATTGAGAGTAGTCGACATTTTAGTGGAAGTTTTTTTTAAGCGAATTAAAGGAAGAGTTTATTGTGGATATTCAAAAAGATAATTATATGATGATCTTGAAAGTACGATTATTTTGGTGACTCGTACAAATAATTAATTTAATTTAAATTTCAGTGATAGTTTTCAGGAGGTGACAAAATCAATCAGTTATCTCTACCGATTAGTAAAAATCGTTCCTGAAGTTCTTCTTTGACTGAATTATCTAAAATGTTTCTAAATTCAAAAAATAAAAGTGTCACTATCCTTTACCTTTGCAAACGAAAGATGAAGGACAGTGAAATTTTTTTATTTTTTAAAATTAAGTTGTACCAAAGATATAATTTGTGTGTTTACGAGGATTATGAAGGTATCGGTTTAGCCAAGAAATTTGGCCAAATGAACTACAATGTATAGTCATCCGATAAATTACAAATTATGCTTCTGGAATGCTTGAAGCAAGAAGCCGGCAATCGGTCAAATTATCAATTTATTCCTTTCTAAACATGCAAAATGATCAATTAAATTCATATTTACAAATAGATCATTAAAGCTGAAATGAGAAAATGAAGCTGAACAATTTGAAAACAGAATACTGAAAGTCAAAATGAGGCGTTCTACAATTCAAATCATTGATCAATTTGTTGCTTAAATTGGAACGTCGAGTGAAAAAAAATAAAGGAAGGCACAAATCACCGCGCTTCTGTATTTGAGAAGAAGAAAGAGGAACAGTTCTGTCCTTTTTATCAATCCACTCACTCTACTGATTCATTCGGGATTCCAAATGAAAGATTGAAAAATTTTTAAAAATTATAAACAGATATTGATATTTTTAACAAAAGACACGACGTTCATCGAATTCAAAATCAATAAAATTATTTCGAAATCACCGGTTGGAAGTTAACAAAAATACGAAATACTATTCAAATTAAAATTATTCATAAATGATTAACATATATGTTAGTAAATCTGTACACCTATCAATTAATCTTAACATTTGTCACGTGTCATCACATGATGAATTATTTCACTGGTAAATCTATTGTTTAGACAAGCATCCAAATCCAAACATTTCGAACCAAAAATTGCTGAAAGACTGAGCCGGGAAAAAAAAAAGAAAAGAATCCTAAAAGAATTGCTATTCTTTGTAAATACAATTTAAAAGAAATTAAAAAAGCAATTTCAAGCATAAGATAAATGAGTATCAGAGAGAAAACGAGTAAGTAATCTGATGAGTCACCATTCAAAATTCATTATCTGAGAGAAAAAGTTGTCCTGATGACCTAGCTGCACTCTTACTTTCGCAATAATTTCACATCCAGTTATTCGTCTGATATTTAGAAAAGTGCAAATGGATTACGTCCGTTTGTCTGCTAACATGCACATTTCCTTGCTGAAGAAACATTCGAAGTCCAAGACATTTGCGCTAAATCCTTCACTAAGACGCTATTTTGAATCAGCGTTGCAATCTAGCTATGTATGCTACAAATTACAATTTTATATGAATGGCAAAAAAAGTTGAGATAACGTTGGAACTTGAAACAAAAAAAAAAAAAAAAAAATTAAATGGCAAATGAACATTTCGAAAAATTTCCTGCACAGCTCTATTTTTTGAACCATCTTTTGGATTGGTCAAATTAACTGGTGTCTTTGTGGTACCTGTTGTAGCTGTACCACTAGTCATCAGTGATCCAAACATGTGTTGAGTTTCGGACCATGAACCTCCGCTTGTGACAGTAGCACCAACCAACGGTATTGCAGTAGCAGCAGTTCCGGGCCATATTCCTGAATATTGCTTGGATAGATTCTCCATAGCAATCATTCGTTGCAAATGTTGCATATAATTAGCAGCTGCAAGTTGTTGTTGATAACCGCTAAGCACAAAAGACGTCAGATCGGTTCCAGCAGTTGTAGCAGCACTATTTGTGGTACTTATTGCTGGAACAAATGCAGGCAACTTGGTTAAGGAGATTGCTGGATTGACACCACTTCCGATCGGTTTTGAGCGATCAACTTCCGGACTTACAGAGGATGCAATTGTGCTTACCGGAGTTAATGTACTGCAAAAAAAAAAAAGATTTTGTACTGTACAGTTAATGTACTGCAAAAAAAAAAAAGCTGAAGTTGCCAGATAAAATCACGAAACCCAATTTTGATCATAGTACAGCAGAAGACTGATAATGCAAAACTTAGATTAGCGGTTGTAATAAAAGCACCAAATCAATACATCTCACAAAAGAACACTAACCGATTTCGGTTACTAATAATACTCCAATTTTTTCTTTTATTTGTCTTGTTGCTGCTCCTCTAATTGTTACTTTAGCTATCATTTCGCACCAACCTTCCCTTTTGCTTTTGTTTTTAATTAGCTCATACCTGGCTCCATCCGAATTCGTCATATTCGGTTCGGTAGTGGATGCAACTGGAGAAGAACGACGAAGCGGTTCGGTAGCGTCTTTTAATGGATTGGTTGTTAAGGTGGTAGCGTTCAGAAGACCAGGTGTTGTTGCCATGAATGCCGCTGCAGCCGGATTCATCATTGATTCTGCTGCAATATTCCTTAGTGATTATCGCTATGATTTTCTAAATTGAACTATATGACGTATTGGTACCGGAACATTCTTATTTACTGATTTCTTAGCCTACATGAATTCAACAAACCTATTGCTTGATGCTGGGCGCTCATTGCAGCCATGATTGCGGCTGGATCGGCGCTATTTTCAGCAGATTGCTGCGCGGCAGCTGCAGCAAGAAGCGCATAAGGATGTGGTTGCATGAGGGGATGCGAGGTCCGTGGAACATGATGCGGAGTTGTGTGTCCGTAAGGATGTACTGTGGAAGTTCTCTCTTGCTTCCTCCACTTTGCTCTCCGATTTTGGAACCAAACCTGAAATAAACAATATGTCCTTTTTTCCTCAAATTGAAAATACTGTTTCACAAAATATTACCGAAACAATAATAAGGAGAAGAGAAGAAACTGGAAACTTTTTACCTGAACTCTTGCTTCCGTAAGAATAACTCGCTGTGCTAATTCTTCTCTGAAAAAAAAAAAAAAAGTAATTCCGATAAACTTTTAAAGTTTAGAAATTTGCATAAATGGAAAATTGGCAGAAGAATCTTCTTCAAATTTAGGTGGGAAATTCTAATCTTATTTAAACTGAGATTTGGCAAAATTAGAATTACAATTCGATAAAGAATGATAGATCTGCGACGTGTGACATGTTATTTCACATTTCGATACATCGTATATGCATTCAAATTTTCCTTTTTTTTTTCACTCGCATCAGCATTAGCAACAAAGATAAGCGTAGTTAATTAATTTATCAAATTTACAATGCTGGATAAGAATAAACAGCTGTGAGGGAGTGACAGGTGTTTTGCAAGTCCCTCTAATTAGAAAATTAATCATTATCAACGTGACCAAAAAGTGCTGAGGATAAATGGAAAGTAGGCAAAGTATAGGAACATATAAAAAGGTTAGAAGAAGGAAATTAAGTGTTTTCCCACGTGGGGGGTATTTATCATCGTCATCGTAAACCGGACTATTTTGCGAATAATCGGAATAATTTGTTGTAATTATGCGCTTATGTCATTTGTCGGTATTTTTCCTCTTTTTGAATTCATTTAAACTGATAATTAGTCTTCCATCATTCTAAATGCATTGGTATCAATAATAATAATGACTATTAGAGGAAGAAGAAATTCGATGCTTGATCAATGGAAGCAATCTATCGACTTGATTTCCAGATGTTTTTTGATTTTTGACTAAATAAGTAAGTGGAAAAGATTTTATCCGCTTTCCCAAATCATTAACAAGGGATCATCTAACAAGACAAGCTGCTGTTTATGGATTATTTAGTTCATTTATGCGGTTTTGTCACTTTTATCTTAAAAAAGAAAAGAAAAAAAAGATATCTCCTGCCAAAAGAGTAAGTAACAAAGTTAAGAAGAAATTTAGTTTAACATTTCACACTGTCTCATTCTTTATCAAGCACTGATAGATGATAGAAATACAGTATACTGTCATATTGTTTATCTCTTGGACACTTTGAATACTTATAATTAAAATTTAGAAAAAATAAAATTGGTCTGACGTGACATTTATTGAATTATTTCATTAGCAATCGAACAAATTATTCAATTACTTAGACAAGAAATAAGGAAATAGTTAATATGTAGAGAATTTTGACATAAATAAAGAATTTATTTTCGGAAATTTTTAGCAAATGAAAAAAAAATACCTGGTAAAAACATCAGGATAATGTGTCCTTGCGAATACTTTTTCCAGTTCGTCTAATTGATAAGCAGAAAATGTTGTCCGATATCGGCGCTGTTTCCTTTTTCCACTATCTTCAGGACTATTAGAACAGGATGATGGTCGATCATTGATACCCAATAAATCCTAAAGAAATGCAACGATGTCGCTTATATGGATTGCTGCTATTAGGTAGTCATTAATGATTACTTAATTATCTACTTCTTGCTAGTTTTTCACTCACTCAATGTTTTAGTTATTAATGACTACTTAACTGATTACCTAATGACAATTTCCTCGCTTAACGCTTAATTATTAAAGACCACTTAATTAATTAATAATTAATAGTTTTTTTCTTGTTTATTGATTAGTTATTAATGGCTATTTACGTTTTTAGACTGAAATTAAATTGTTTTTAACTTCCTGCTTCATTGCTTAGGCTTGTTTTAGGAACATTTATCTATCGATATATTGATGATAGAAGTGAATAAATAAATGGAAAGCTAAAGCATTGCGCTAATGAAGCAAATAAATTTCTTACATTTGATACGGATGGCTTCATACTGTGACCGGTTGTTCCTGAATATATTATAAGAAGTAAATAACATTGTCTCACATTATCATTGATACTTCTTAATAAATGCTAGCAATCCATTTACTGTTACATTATTAAAACAGTAGGAGTAAATAGAATCAGATAATCGCATTCATTTCACTAATTCGGTCATACCTACTGTGTCCACCCATCAGTCTTTTCACCCTTCCTGGGAAGAAGCCTTGGTAATGTCCAGCTCCAGCTATAAACACAAAAGAATTGTCAAAGGGTCAGTTCAGTTATCAACTGACCAACCTATAGTTTTCTCAATGCTTTTATTGGAATTATTTTAGTGGTGTATTTTGCGGGGAAATGAATAAATATAAACCTGCAGAGGATTCGCTTCCACCGGCATTATTGCTTTGCCGCTCATCATCGCTGTCCTTCCTCTGAACTACTTTATTTCTTGTAGTTGTGGCTGTTAGAGCAGAAATTGCGAATGGTGAATTGAGGAACGAACTTGTTTCGCTAGGTTTCGCTAATGAAGCCACCGAAAAACCTAAGAGAATGGCAGTAAATAAAGTGTTTCAGGATAAGAGAAATTAACTTCCGGTAATTTGTTGATGACAAGAATCAGCCTCAAAAGATCAAAGAATACAAGAAGTCCATTTATGTTTGAATTCATTTGCAATAGGAAACTACCATAAGAAGCTTATATTTTAAATATTTTAACTGCTATATGCAAAATTAAAACATTCATTTTTTTTCTTTTCAAGCAAATTTTCTGAAATATTTCAATTCATCACTCGGATCTGATCCTCACTCATTATGGAATTGGTGAATTCTCGGATATGCCGAATTTTTCAGTGAACCATCCAAAAAGGCCAAACTGTCAACCGCCCATTTGCATAACAATCGTTGAATATGAAAGTATACCGTTTGAGAGGGAATTAGTGGAACCATTTGAAGATGTGATGCTTGTTTGTTGTTGTTGTTGTTGTGCGAATATCACTTTCTGTTGCTCATATAATAGTTGCGTCATTGTAAGAGGTGGACTAAGCAGGAAAGGTGCCAAATTAGGTACCGTTGTTGGTACCGTAACTGGCGTTTTTGACGCTGCTTCTTGTGGTTTGCTATCTTCCTCACCGGGATCAACCTCTACGGTGTCAGATGCTTCTGTTTTCTCTGAACAACTCGTAGTAGTCAATAATTTTTCGGGCATTCAATTTTATAGGGTAGATTTTTGACGAAATTTTTGAAATTTCGTTTTTAAGAAGGAAAATATTGCAATCGGTTTCAATGGTGCTCGATGTTTTCAAGTTTCGTTCTAAGCTGAAAAAGAAGTACTTAGTGAAAAAAAAAATAGTCGAAGAAATTAAATAAATTATTTTGCGAACGAATAAAAGCAATTTTATAGGCTATTGACGGTTTAACAACAACAAAAAAAAGAAAAAAAAGTTCCATTGAAAATAAAGACAATTTTGAGCTCAAAATTTAAATTCGAAATTCAATAAGAAATATATTTCAATTGATTACATTAAGGGAAATGATCACTCTTTGAGGATGAACAGCGCTAAGTGTATTTTACATTCAATCAGCAGTGTAAAATTTAATTTTATATGCAATAATTAACAAAATTTGCAGTTGGAAAAAAGGTAAAAATTGAATCCAAAATGAAAATGACATCCGTAAAAATCAGATCTTTAAGATGAATTATAGAGTTAAGCATTGTTGTGGTAATAATTATGGATACATTATTTGGCAATTTTAGCTTTGACTTATGAAATTTCATGCTGGTAATCTGTCTTGGACAATTTTTTTTTTTTTTTTTTTTTTTTTGACTAAAACAAATTAAGCAACAAATTATCAGGATAGAATAGGTAGGCAATTAAAGTAGTGTATTTCTGGGGCTCAAAAATGGGCAACACAAGAAGTATAGAGTAATTTAGAGTATGAATTAAAGAGAACATTTGTGCAATTCTTAACAGAGTTTTTTTTTCTTTCGACATGAAATCAATGATTAGTGCAAAATTAAATTTTAAATATGTTTGAAGGGTAAGGAGGAAAGTATCGTCATTTGATGGATCTGAAAAAGAAGAAAAGGACAGAAGTAAGGGAAGAAAAAAAAAAGCGGAAAAAAGAGGAGAAGAAGGGATAAAGTAAATAAAAATGTAATTTAAGGACTTTAATTTCCCGTAATTGAGATACAAATTTTTGCTGATGCTATTGCTGTTGCTACTTCCATTGACGGAACGGAGAAAAGTAAACATTTTCAGGTTTGGGACAGCTAAAAAAAATTTGCCCTTGAGAAATATCACGGAAAATTCTCTTGTACAATTGGATACTGTATTTTATGTTTAATATATGTATGGTTATCAAAATTATTCGTATTCCTATTTGAAAATATATGTGAATAAATCCAGCAGAGTAAAGGAAATGAACTATGAAGCGAAATTGTCAAAGTTGATTAGATATGATTATCAAACGATCTAATAATTATTATCCATGATAGATGAATGTTGGGATAATGAGCCCTCCCAAAAGATATTTATTTTGTTACGGTAAAATACCAAATTTATTTTATATGATGTACATATTATTAGATAGAGCTAACGTTGATTTTGAGGATCTGAAATGTAAATGTGATTAGAAAATGCAAATTAGTGTTAATTTAAGAGAGAAAAATATATAAGCTTCAAATGAAGCTAATTTCCTCCTTTTTCTCTCTTCAGGTCTTTTTTTTTTTTCTTTCCTTCTCCAAAAGAGCCAAATTCATTTCCCCAAGTTGATTTCCCTTAACAACCATTAACATTGAATTTATAATATTTTTTATTTTAAATGAAATAGTTTATCTTTTATTAAAAATAACTGAAGACAAATTATTGTATAAATTCAGGATATTTCTCTAAAACAATTGGGTGAGTGTGAAAATTAAGAATTGTGATTTAATATTAAATGGATAAAATTAAAAATTGAGACTTAATATTGAAATGGAAGAGTTGAAAAGTGGAAGAGATTATTGCTAAAAGAAGATGCTTAAAAAGCAGCACAATAGTTTTGCGGTAAACCAATCCCGTCACCCGAGAAATATTTGTAACCTTGCAGATTTCTTATTTATTTCATCCAACTCATCCTTATATCTGATGGAAAAGACATAAATTGGAAGATCAGCTGTTACATGTAAACTTTACAAACAAGGAAAATTTAGGAGGACACTACTATGTCACACCTTCTATTTGTTTATCATACACGCACATACACACACATACAAAGAGATAGACAGACACTCATATTCAATGGAGCTAAATCTTCGATAACGTGATGATACTTCAATTAAGTTATAATTTTAAAAAATTATAGGACATACAAGTGACTGTGAGTGTTCGGAAAATGGCTGATATGATGGTTTGCTTATTTGGCCAAAAGTGAAATTACAGCCAAGAACAGCCAAGTTAAATGTGAATGATTATTATCATATCATTATGAAGAGAACTAAAATAGACATTAAGCCATTTTAAGCGAATTTTTTTTCGTAAAACGGAAGAAAAGCACATTTTATATATGTTACATCCAGTATATCTATATCCATATCTTTTACTTTTCCTCTTTGTCACCAATAAAACTGTCTTCCTTTCTTCACTTACATAGTTTCTAATTTAGCCCTATTAATGATTTTGAATCAATTTTTGAATTTTTGAAATTTTCAATCAAAACAATTTTCCTAATCTGACAAAAAAAAATCGTTATCCTTCGAGCAGTAATAATAATGGTAATAAATGAAATACTAATAGTGAGTATTTAACAGTTATCTAAAAGTAGTAATTACTATTAAAATAATAAGAATAGAGAGAGAGAGAGAGAGAGAGAGAAATTGAGAGAGGAAAAGGGAGAGAAAGAGAGAGAGAGAAAGGAAAGGAAGCCATTGCATTGCTGAAGTGGCAATTAAGTAAATCGAAAATAGCTGGGTTGAAAAGTAATAAATTTAATAAAAGTTATAAATGGATGGCATTATTGCGTGCCTTCCTTCGAGATGTTCCATCTTTCAAGGAAGTAATTCATTGGCAATGAATGCAACGATGAAAGGATTATTATTTTTGATCATTTGCATTGTCCACTGAGATAAATAATCAAATTTACACATTGCATGCTATAAAATCAAAAAAAAAAAAGGTAAAAAAAAGCAAGAAATGTATTCAAATTATTAATTCAAACCTTTAAAATATAATTTAATTTCATTGCAATCTTTTTCATTTCAATTTCAAATAAATTATTCTTTAAAAATACTTCTTATTAATGGTGCTGTTAAAATTATTATCATTAATTATATTTTTATAACTGCAATTACTATTATTACACTTATCGCATCTTAATCTAACATTACATATTTAATACTGCTGTTGACATTATTATGATTATTATTAGCATAAGATATCGTATCCATTATTATCATTTTAATTTATCGTGTTGTTAAAAGTTATTTATTTTTATTCATTTATTTTTTCATAATTTTGCTTTGTTGTTATCATCGATACTATCAGTGTTATCAGCATCAGAGCAATTACTGATGATCATAATATCTCAAAATGTATCATTGAGAGGTAGAATATGTCTCGCAAATCTTTTACTTACTTATTAATTTATTATTTTTTGAATTTTGAAAGGAAAATTACAACTGCAAAACTTAGTTGTATTGTTTGCATTATCTAAACTGATCATTTGTAATCTATGCGCTTCCTATTGCTAAATGAGTCATCGTGTAAAATGACCAAAAATAAGTAAATTTTGGAAAATTGATAATGAAAATTTCAGGAAACTTTTGTAAAAATCTTATTTCATCGCATCTTATGTGATCCAATTTCTTTCAAATATCACTGCTTGTTCAATGTTGTTTAAAATGACAAACAAAAATTGGATACATTTGGGCTAGCTTTGAAATGATTATAAACATATAGCACAGTATCTAATAAAGAAAACAGGAAGCAGCAAATATCATACACAAGTTGTGTCCTCAATTAATGCTCTGAGCAAGTCAGCCAGTGACCAATGTCCCAATTTTTAAAAACTGATAACAGAAAAGCGTTAGCTGACGGTTTATTTTATTTTGAGCGGTAATCAGAAATTGCAAAAAAAAAAGAAAAAAACTATTGCAAGGGAATGTTTCGTTCAAAAACTAAAAAATTGATGGGTCAGCAGTTGGCTATTTGCTCTTTCAACTTTTTAAATAGTGACCAATTTTAATTTAATCTGAAAATTTCCCTATAATTAGCGGTGATTGGTGAATCATTCTTGCTTCTCTATTTCAAACCTGAATCAGTAAATATGATAAACCTGATATAATCCAAATGCAGTTATAGTTGGATAGTTGAAGAACTCAAAGGACAAGAGAAGGACGATAAATGTCATTCTTCTAAAACAAACCAACTGGCGGCAATTAAGTCAGACAGTATGATGAGCTCAATTCAATTTGAAAATTCCAACTGTCTGCTGTTTTATCTTTTCACATTGAAAAAATTAATTCCTTACATCTCTTGACGGATTATAAATTCGATGACCAATACGATGCTTACTTCTGACTTGACAACAGCAAATATCATAATCTCAGAAATTTTCATAAGACAGATTATTCGCGACACACTATTGAAGGAGGCTTATGTTGTAAGCTGATAAGTTTCGCAGACAGGACGATTTGGTAAGCATCTTAATTGCTCCCATCCAATAGTTATTAACTAATGGTGTATTTATTCACTTGTAGTGAAGGAAACAAAACATCAAACTTTGTCATTATTATTAATAAGGATAGCATCCGGATTGTTCTGGATTCACTAACAAGGTTCGTATCTCTGATAAGGATAGTATCCAGATTGTTCCAGATTCATTAATAAGGTTTGTATCAAGCAACCAGTACCAATGCTTCGATGGATGACTGTAAAGGTGAATGATTTGTATGTAATAAATTTCATCAAACTTTGTAATGAGAAATGCTGATCTCAAAAGTTTTCAGATTAGCTGATAGGATTACGGTATGTATCGATTTGAATTCTCAATGATTTATTAGCTTGAATGTCTAATAAATCATAGCGAATGGTTGTTAGCAGAGTAAGGTGAGAGGAAGTTAGGCAGTATAATCAAGCGATTCTTTCTTCATCAAAATAATGAAATAAATTGGAGGAAAAATCGGAAATGGGACTAAACATTTAAAGGCATTTATGCATTTATATGTGAGCAAATGACAGACAAATTGAAAGATAAAATGTGGCGGTGAAAAAAAAAAAGAAAAGGCGGAGAAAGAAAGATGCAATTAATGGATGTGTATGTGCAGCTGTTAATTGTCCTTTAAATTATTTTCATTCATAACTAAGTAAGTTAGTATGAAAGTAAACCAATTCTTTTCACTACCTAAATGTATCCATCTTTTCCTTTTCCCATTCATTCAATCCTTCAATTGTCTTCGTTATATGGCAGGAAGATTGGAGAGGATGACAGCAAAATTGACAAATTTCTTCACTTCAATTGCTCACTTCAACTGATAGTTGCCAAATTGTTTCCATCTAAAGTTAACAGTTAACTTTGAAACTTTGAAACAATTAAATATATGTGATATATTGGATAAAGTAGTAGCAATGGTAGTAATAGCAGTAGTAGTGTAGTGGTAGCAATAGTAGTAGTAGTAGTAGTAGTAGCAATATTAATAATAATAGTAGTACTAGTAGTAATAGTAGTGATGTAGTAGTAGTAGTAGTAGTAGGAATTAATTATTTATGTGGCAATCAAGAAGAGATAATTGATTTTGTTGCTATTAAAGAAAATACGTATTAATAATATTATCATTATTACTTTTAATATATCCATGAAAGTTATTTAAGTGACATAAAAATCAAATGACAGGGAGACAAAAGCGCTAAAATTCTGCTAACCAGGCAAATGGCCTTTCCGTATTGTTCACCTTCCTGGTGTGCTGCATTTATTAATAAGGCCAATAATTAGATGAAGTTAGCAGGTACAGAGAAAGGGGAAAAAGCAGAAGGATAAGAAAGCAAGTAATATATCGCAAAAGCAAATAAAATACGGAAAGAGATGTAGAGATTGCTCTTGATGACATCAAGAGAGAACACATCTTGCCGGATATGACAATTAAATCTTAGAGGATGAGGAGAGCCAGTGCTGAAGATTGAAATAAATAAATCAAATTAACTTCAATCAGAAATCATTCGAATTTCGCATATTGAATTTCACACATTCGTTAAAAAATACCGAGAATTCTTGGAGAGAATATATATTTGATTCTGTGTACCTGCATACTTATGTCTTAATAAGGGTTCAAAGTTCATATTGAGCTCAATACTTGGCAGTTATTTGTGACTATTAAGTAGTTTAACCTTATTTTAACATGCTATTCTTTTTTCCTTCTTATCCTACATTATGTTAATCCTTACTGATGAAAAAAAAAAAAAGAAAATCAGTCAAAAACATCCGAGAAATCCCAAAGATATTTTTAATTATTCTACCAACTATCTCCTCAAAATTTTCCGACAAAAATTTGAAAATAATTATTATTTAAATGTAGCAAGGTCATTATTTACTCTCTTAACAAATTATGGTCGATAAAAATTTTAAATTCAAAATTGTAAATTTATGAAATTACAAATTGTAAAATTAACAAATTTACGATGTTAAAAGAGCATAAGTCTTTTTAAACATTATCATGGGAAAGTCTGAGGCATATATAAATTTGCTAGATTCATAATTTTGTTATCATAGAAAGTTATCCTGTTACTTACTTTAGGTAATTAATGAAGCACAAATAGTGTACTATCTTATCAAATGAAGTATAAGAACGAGAAGTATAACTATTTATTACTTGGGAACAGATTTTAGCGAAAGCTGTCACAATCGAGAAATCACTACAATTCCTGTGTATCTTCAAATTTGGAAAAAAATAACGATGGGATTTGGATCGTAAGAAAAACTAAAATTACTAGCGTTTGTATGTCAAATTTATAAAAAGAAGCCAGGAAGGACTGTCATACGAGAGGAGCATCATTATTGAAGGAGTGAAAAATGAAAATTTGTAATGCTAATGCTTATAATGACTTAGCATGATAAAATATTAACATTTATGGTAATTGTGTTAGTGCGTTTGGTGACATCAGTGACAGAGCAAGAAGGCAGAGGCAAAATGAAATAATGAATAGTCGTTTATTGTTTAGGTTTATTCGATTTCGATTGGTGAGTAGTGAGGCATTTGCCATCGTAAAACATAAAAAGACTTATTAGTGTTTCAAGCCTACAGGAATCCGGAAGAATTCCGGCAATGTAACTTGCAATGAGAATATTTGAAGACTTTGAATGATTATAAATAAAGGAATATTTTTATTGCACCATCTGCTGGGGAATACAAATACAAACTTATTCTCATTTAAACATCTCATACAAATACTCATTAGTATCAATCGGCAGCAATTAGCAATCAAAACAAAAACAAAACTTTGATATCTACCAAAATATTAATTCCTGGTTTTATCACGATGCTTGTGTTTGTCCACAATAAGTTTTATTTCTCTTATCAATCTTTAAAAAGATCAATCCATAACAAACAGCGTGACATTTTATTTAAGTTATGGACAATCAAATCATTCAAACCAAATTATTTGAAAATTTAATCGTATAAAATTGACAAAAGAATACAGTAACAAAAGGTTTACTGTAATTTTTCACTACTGAGAAGTTGGCCAGATTACGTGTAAGTTCAGGTTCATTTTCTTTTGCTAAACGAGGCGGTACAATTTCAGCCCGCCTGTCTAACATATTTTCTTTTAAACTGCAAAGCGCAAATATCGTCTAAAATGATCCTAAATGAATTTTGTTAATTTGTACTTAAAAAAAAAAAAAAAAAAACCTGAATGTAAGCATTTTTTTTTCTTGTTTCAATAACTTATTACAACAAGAAGAATCTAAGGAAAAAACGTTTGTTAACACGTAGTAAAGGTAATCAACTACTTGTATTGAGGTGTACCGTACAACATTGCTTGTAATATTGGCTTTATGAGAAAATTCTATCGTATTCATTACGGTGACTACACATTAGCGACTGTAATAATTCGTGATTATTTGGAGTTTATTGTTCCAAACAAAAAAAAAAAACAAAAAAAGAAAAAGATTTTGAATATTTACGATAACTGGTGACACTGATTTCAATTATATTAGCTAGTAAAAACAAAGTGCAAAAAAGGTAAGGTGCTAGAAATATGGGAGATACAAGGTGGAATTATCCATGACATATCTCCAAGCAATCATTGCATGTCATTCAGCTATTCAGAAATTATATCATGAATTTTCATTCCAAACATTGTTTTGGCAGTTATTAGGAAAAGAAAGACGATTTTTTACCAATATACATAGAGAAAAGAAAAAGGAATTGTATAGTTTTCATAATTGCTATATCATATATCATATCATATCATATCATACCATACTTCCAAATCAATTATGATATTTTCCCAATATAATTATATTTTGATGCACTGTATTATTTTCCCCGGCAAAGAAAGGCGAACATTTAAACGGTAACAATGATAGGAATGATAATCAAATCATTGATTATTTGGTTCTTGAATTAGAATTGCAATAAGTTAGCTTCTAAGAAATGCTAATGAACTTTTGAAATATTCTCCAGTTAGGGATGGAAATATTATTACTAATATGATCCAGTTATTTCTAATAAAATCTTAAACCTACTCTTTCACTTTATATAAAATCGAAAAGGCAACTAAAAAAGGATCAAATATTTCCTGCTCTTCCTTGATCAAATGATCAAAGGGTTCCTCTTTTGGCTGAGTTATTTTCATTAAACATTTATTGTTTGAATAATATCTATTTAAAGATTCAAATTACTTAAATACGGAACTGCTTGTAGAACTAAATATTTGTCTGTTTCGAATGGGAAATTGGCATGCTCCTGTTATGATGAGAGAACCGGAAAACACATCCTGTCCTTCCGGTTAACATCCTAAATGCCGTGGAGCTATAGAAGGGAATTTTTTTTTTTGGATAAAGAATGAATATTTTTTTAAATTAAAGCAAATAAAAAGGATTGGAAATAAATGGAAAAATTTTGAAATAGTTAGAAGTAAAATGCTGTGTTAATTGAATTGATTAATGATCTTGAAAGAATAAAAAAAAAAATAAAATTGTTTCCTCGCAGTCCATTTCTTTTAAGTTATGCCTTACGAATTATTATCTAAATTTGCATCCATAAAAAAAAAACGGAAAAAAATGAGGGTTAAATAAGCTTAATGAAATTGATAAAAGTATGAGAGAGAATTATGATTGTAAATGTTATGCATCAACCCCGAGAAATAGTTATAACATGATCTTAATTAAATTTCATTAAATAAATAATTTGTCAAATGCAATATAAACTGCTATTTCATTAGTGTCTCTTACCAACATCATTTCCCACTTTAAAAAAAAAAATTAGTATTTTAATATTGAAATAAATAATTTAAAAGAAGCATAGATTCCGACTCACTTTTAGTTGAATTACTTTAATTAATGTACTTCCCTTCAACAATATTGATAATTGCATCCCATAATGTCACGCGCATATGACATTGGATGGAGAATTTGCTGCTACTACTACTACTACTGCTGCTACTACTACTGTTAATACTGCTATTACTGCTACTATTACTGCTTCTGCTGCTGCTCTTGCTGCTGCATCGTGACAGGCTAAGATATCCAGCCTGTTCTTCCTGTCCTACATAGGATGTTTTTCCCGTTACCCTGAATTACCGTGGCTAAAGATTTGCAATCATTCAGCAATAGTTAGTGGTAGAATAAGCTCAAGCAAGCATGACTTAACGAAAATATCAGTATTTAAATGATTCATTTTATAGTAAGGTTTCAATAATTGAAATCATTTAGCTAAACTAACCTACAGTAAGTTCAAGTTACAGTTACAGTAACTTACAACATATTAGAAATGGCAGAAAAATCTTTATCATTTTGATACAACCATCCTAATGAGTTATTATTATTCCAGTATGCCATATTTTAAGATCATCCATTTGTCGATCTTCGAAAGATAAGAAATGCAATTAATAAATTTTAAGTTATAGTTTAAGGAAGACATGAAGGCGAGTACTATCATTCCTGATTCGTCATTTTAGGAATAAAAATCTGAAAATAATTCCAGTCCAGTCTATTCAGTTCAGATTTGAGGTGATCTAATTTTTGCCTCATTATATGATACGGTCTCGAACACAAGAGAGAGAGAGAGAGAGAGAGAGAGAAAGAGAGAAAAGAAGAAAGGAAAGTATTTGTTGCTACCACTGAACATATATTTTATATATTTTTCCCATGAAAGAGATGGACAGATAGCTTTTCACTGGCAATTAAATTCTTGTGATTGAAGAAGGAAACTTAAAAAGATGAGGAAGAAAAGAGAAATGGATAATTTGATGGAAATTTCCTAAAAAGTAATGAAAGTAAAAGAGAGTAAGAACTAATAAGTAAGTATATTTATGTAGTAATAATATTCTATCATATAAGAAAAAGACCCAACAAAATCAGAGGCAGCATTTAACATGATGCTAAGCTATTTTGGTTACAGAGAAGAGAAGCAATTTTCTGCAAATAGAATTGGATAGATGGATAGATATTTTAGGCAATTGAATAATAAAATCAAAAAGTGAAATAGAATTGCTGCTTTTCTCATTCCCTTTTTGGTCCCCCCCCCCCCTCCCCCCCAAAAAATATACCGGTACCAGAAAATGGCAATATTTATGCGCCGTTAGAAATGATCACTTAATGCAATCAAAAATGATGCTTGCACCATAATCATATCAAATAAAACATTACATAAGGGAAAGCATTTTTGATGCATATGTTTACGAGCAAATTGATAAAGAAACATGGAAAAAAAAAAAAAAAAAAAAAAGAAAAAGAAACCACGAATAATCAAATAGGATATTGAAGAAGTTGTAGTAGAAGGATCAAGAATCTATCATATAGCGCATGTAAGGAAGGATTCATTCATTATTCGGAGAATCATTGAAATACTGAATAATAGTTTAAAAAATTTCGTATTAATAAAAAGAAAAAGGAAAGCACTTGTTAGGCTTCCATTTGCACAATATTAATGAATTCGAATTTCGATTAATTTTATTCCATAATGAAATAAAAAAAAAAAAATGAAATTTCATATCATTAGGAAAATTACTAAACAAAAACGAATGATTCTTCCAAAGGTAATATTAGTCATAAAGCAAACTCTTAAGTATAACGTGCTCCAAACCATGGCTACAAACATACACAATCATCTCATCTCACCGTCTCATTTAAATGCATTTTAAATAGTCTGATACATTTTCCAACACATACATGCACAGACAAATGCATACACATACACACACACACACACACACACATACACACATACATATACAGACACATACACACACATTCAACTATCGATATGCATGCATATATTACGACATACTCATATGTATATTATGATGCTAATAATATGATAGCATAGATATTATGATACTAATAATGTGATAAAAATGCGTGCACATTTCTTAAGCATAAGAAAGCGAACATTGAATGAAGAGCTGCAACAGAAAACTTTTTTTTGTTTGCGACTTTTGATAGGTAAAGGTTGCGAGTCGCAGAGATAGTCGCATCCGAAATAAATGTAAACATAAATAAAATTCATTTAGGAATATACTTGCTTCTCTTCTTCCCAACTGTACCATCCTATCCTAATTTGACAAAATAAAAAAAGAAAAAAGAAAAGGAAAGCTTAGCATGTTTAAAACTATCAATAGACGACAAAGCCGCTTGTTATAACAAGAAATATTCCCTCACAATCTATGAGATATAATTAAATGAAATATTAATTAAGGAATCAGCAATGATCTGGTACTGTGAACATTTTCCGGACTACCGTGCGGCTTGGTTAGGTAAGATAAATAATGGTTCCATGCCATCGAAATAGACATAACGTTTGAATTAAACATTTAAAATGTTTCATGCTTATCTACGAGAATATTCGAAAAGTATTAGCAAAACAAAAATAAAAACATTTAAAAGCATCCGAGAAAACGATCTAAAAAAGAGCAAAAGAGAAAATTCCTGATTGGTAGTTGAACCTGATGACCTCGAAATGGATAACAATGGAATGTTACAGGAATCTTTTGAAAATGAAATGAAATAACAATAATTTCTTTACTAATGTAATGAAATTTGTAGATCTTTCAAAGATTAAAAAGTTCTCAGGACCGAATAGAAATGTTTAAATAGGCTTAACAATTATCATTTGACAGTAGTGAATACTATTTGACAGTAAATGAGGGGGAGAGGAAAAACAAATGTCAACTTGTATTTCTTTCCTTCTTGTCATCAAAAACATTCCAACTAATTTGCACATCTCATCTCAGTGAACAATCAAATTTTCCATGTTATTATTTTTGCAATAATGAAATTACAATAGTTTTTTTGGAACAAGATGATGAAATGAAATTATGAATAAGCAAGAAGTGGACGAAGCCTAATCATATTTATATTTGTGTAATATTTTTTGATCGTTTTTTGTTTCATAGGAATTTCATGACATAATGATGATGATGATTGATGGTGGTGATGATGATGATGATGGTGATTATTATTACTATTATTATCATTGTTATTTTATTATTATTACTATTGTTACTATTATTATTATTATTATTATTATTATTATTATTATTATTATTATTATTATTATTATTATTATTATTATTATTATTATTATTATTTATTATTATTATTATTATTATTATTATTATATTATT